TTGGGTGCAGCAGATTTTGCTGGAGCAGCTTTAGCAGGAGTCACCTTTGCGGCAGGTTTCTTCGCCTCCTCTTCCTCTGAACTGGACGAGTCTTCATCAGAGTCTTCTTTTGCAGCAGGAGCTGCTTTAGCTTGGACTGGTTTAGCTGGGGCTGCTTTAGCTTGGACTGGTTTAGCTGGGGCTGCTTTAGCTGCTGCAACTTTAGCTGCAGGCTTTTTGGCCTCCTCATCCGAGCTTGAATCTGGGGTTATAAAAAGATGGAGGAAGACTTTTATAAAATGTTCCAACTTTGATTCAAAATGGGAGGAAGATGACTGGGATCGTGTCACTACCAGAACTCTCGGAGCTGGACTCTTGCTTCTTTGCTGCAGGCTTGGACGCAGCAGCTTTTGTGTTGGTTTTCTTTGCAGGTGCAGGTTTTGCTGCAATAGTTTTGACATCGTTAGGCACAAAATTAAAAACCATTTTTTAAATACAGGTAGTCTCACTGAGTGACGAGGACTCGTTTCCAAGAGAGATCCGTTTATCATCAGGTGAAAGTGAGAAACTTACCAGCTACTTTCTTCTCTTCCTTGCTGCTGTCTGACTCTTTAGCCTTCCCGGCAGCTGGAGCTTTCTGGATTGAAGCAGGAGGAGGGACTGCACTGTATGCTCCTAACAAGACAGCAGTCACTGTTCAACATACAAAACTACTTGTGCACGCTGGTGATTTGTCAAGAACTAAGCAGATCTGTGCACAGTTATAGCCGTGGGCATGGATTATAAAATAAAACGTTCATATAAATAACACACATACACCATATTTTCCGCCGTACACGTCACACCGCAGTATGTCGCATCTATTACGCATCACCGCTGACAACCTGGAAATGTGGGTTGGTGCGCCAGAAATCGATTGGCTGCCAAATGGCAGACGCTTGAGCAAGATGGGAGTTTAATAGGAATTTAACAAGATTAACACTTAAAAAACAATTGTTGGCTCGACATTATAGTAAAGGTGTGTCTCAGTTGAACTTTTACTTAATAAATGCACTTCGATGGTGAAATCAGCTGCATTTCTCCGGGGCGGCACAGAGAAATGAAGCTGATTTTGTTCCAGGCGAACTGGACGAAGGAGTAAGTCTACGGCAAGCCGATTGTGTCATTAATAGCCACTTTTACCTATTACATGACACAACGGCATGCCACACTATGAGTGTCATCCAGCGGCTGAAATGGTAGTGTTTAATATTTTCAGTCAATGAATGAAAACGATCATATCTCAGCCAAAAATTGGTTTATACAAATATAGAAGAAAAAAAAAATCCATAAATGAGTTGCTTCGGCGTATACGTCACAAGGAATGCAAATTATGCAAAAAAAAAACTGTGACTTATAGGCTGAAAAATATGGTATATGCATAAATTATAAATCCAAAAGCATATAACTGATAAAACTTTAAAAACACACCTGCTTTGGGTTTTTTGCTCGGCGGAGCTTCATCCTCAGACGAAGACTCGTCACTGCTGGATTCTTCAGCAGCTGCAGCTGGGGGGGGCTTCTTCACTGGGGCAGGTTTAGCTGCGGCCTTACAGAATAAATAAAACTTTGCATTTACACGTTTAAAATAAACTTTAGATGTGATTTCAAACAGGAGGATGCTGTAAGATGCAGGGTTCTGAAGGGATTCTCCTCCTTTACCTTGGCCGGCTGCTCTTCTTCAGAATCAGAGGAGCTGTCTTCACTGCTGCTGCTCTCCTGCTTCTTCTGAGCTGCACCTTTGGAGGGAACAGCTGCTTTGGGCGTGACGGCACCTGCGCTGGCTTCTATTATTAAAACGAGGCCAATTTAAATAACTACAAACTTATTTTGGTCGACACTTTGAACTGTTAATGTCTTCAGGCCTACTTGGTGCAGCTTTGGCAGGCTGTTCATCCTCGGAGTCGGATTCCTCACTCGATGAGCTTCTGTCTTTCTTCCTTGTGCTGACAGCAGCAGCAGGGCCCTTAACGGGATACAAAATTGGATATAAACAAATCCATCTCGCAACAATAACTAAATCTGGCACAAATATTTAATTTGGACATTTCCCGTCACCTTTGCGGGCGCCTTCTCCTCCTCAGAGTCACTCGACTCTTCACTGCCGGAGCTTTCTGCAGTAGCTTTAGCTTTCTTAGCTGCAGGACTGTTGATAGCTTCAGGCCGATTAGGAGGTACTTTCCGTTTCTTCGCCTCGGGAGACCTTATAAAGCAAAATCATCTCTATTACTTACAAATTACTCAGATTACCCCCTCAAACTTGCACTTCCTCCACCATCTCCCGCCAACAAATTTAAAATCGAATGGAACAACGGGGACAACTTTAGGAAAGGAAGCAACAGAGAATGACAAAAGGCGACGCATATTTCTGTTGTACAAAATAGACGGCAACAGTAAAAGTACACGATGATGATATACATGCATATGAAGAAATGTACTGGAGTAGTAAAAAAAAATAAAGTTCTAAAATATAGAAAAGAAGGTTGAAAGTGTTCAACATATACACAAAGGAGTTTATAAGTTGAACATTCAGGAGTTGATGCTTCTACATTTTTTTTATTTTTTACACGACATGCTCTGTAAAGACATATATAAACGGTAGTGCGCTCTTCATTTATAATAGGGATGATGATTTGTAAATACAGCTGCTCATTGTTGCACATTTGCAGTGTGCTGGCAGGCAGAACATAAAGTCCATAATAGACGACACGCTAAAAGACAGGAATCATCCAAAACCAGCTGCTTTCAATGTGTCCGATTCTGCTAAAAAAAAAAAAAAACAGTTGCGAGGACAAGAGAGCAGTATGTGGCGAAGCTAAACGTATAACTTCAGTCAAGACGCGCCGTTCGATCTGTACGGGCTGAGAAGTGGATGGAAAGACGACAATGGATCTGTGTGGAGGATCTGATCGAACCTCAGGGTTTGTTCAGAGGGTCGCTGCAGACATCCACATCACAAGATGACAGCAGGTGCTGATTCAACATCTCATTTTCTGTAACTGTTGTTCATCAGTTTTGATTCAGCGAGTATTGAACTGCACATAGGAAACAGATCACAGAATTTAATCTGCCTACATACAGCGACAGGAAATTCGACTCCCATGTCCCAAGCGATTCGCGCATCCAACCATGACGCAGGATTGGACCACCGTTGTTCAGCTTTGTGAAGAAGCGTGTGATGCAGACATATGTAAAGTAAATGACGCGTTTTCTATTTGAGCAAGGTTTTGAATCGGGCAATCATGACGACACGCTGACCTTCCCTATGTTTGCAATTTGTTTAAAAAAAAAGATGAACACATACAGTAAATGGAATTATATAAAATACATACAAAAAATTCTAACAATCCTGAAGGACAGGATTTAATATTGGTCTTTATATGAAAACCACTTTTTTTAAACACCAGATGACTGTTTGGTTCTGTTCAGATAATATCTTTTGCTATCTGTCACTTTTAAACACTATCATTTCCTTAAAATATATCCTCTAGAAATTTTCAGTTAAATTTGGACTAAAAATTAAAATAGGTTTAAACAAAAAATCTTAACTATTACAGAACAGTATTTAAAACATATTAAAACAAATAATTAAATGCTTGGATTAGCCTTATTGAGCAAATCTTCATTATGATTTGAATTCAAACTTGAGCGATGATAAAAGTTAAGGAAGGCAACTGACTTCACCCAGAAGTTATAGATGTTGACGAGGCTCTCTTCATTTTGATCCTGTGGTTCCTGCAGAAAAGAAAACGAGTTCATGTTAAGCAGTTTGAGCGAATTAACAAGTTAAATTAATCTTACAATTAATGCAGATGTCACATTTTATACGGCTCAAACAAGAGCCGTTAGTTTAACAACAGCTGCTAGTAAGAACACAGCCGGTGAAGTTACACGTGCTGGTTTGTCGTGAGCCCCACGTGAACCGACGCTTGCCTCCTCGTGCACAACTTGGGGCAGACAGCGACAACAAGCTGCCTCGCGACCACTCGAAGTAAAATACTCACGACTTTAGTCTGTTTCAAGAAGAGCTGGGCCGCCTTGGTGAACTTGTTCTCCAGCAGAAAGGAATAAACGCTTTTGTAAAGATCGCTTGGAACCGACTTTTGCTCCGCCATTTTTAACACGCTCCTTGAGGAAAGACCGGAAGTGACGAGTGAGCGCATGCGCTTCTTTGGCAATGCACGCAGGAGTTTTATTATGAAAAGATGGTTGACTCCGTTTGAAAACTGTATGTGTACTCTAAGAAAAAGTCAATATATTCTAAGGAAATGTGTGATAATCGTATAGAGAATTGTTGATATATATGTTACTTTATGTATAAACTGAGCAAGTTAATAACGTTTAAAGCATTGAGTTGTTGTTGTAAAAATCGGAGCGGAGTGAGCCATCTTTATCTGGCGTTTTCTAAATGGAACGTACTATCTCTAGATAATTAATTTTATTAACTTTATTTTACAGAAATAGTTTTCGAATATTCTATCCAGAAAATGCCATGTTTAAGTAATTGAATCACTTAAAATAATCTGGCATGACGTTTTTGAACAGTTTTCTCATAGTCTTTTGTTGTTAAGAACGGCGCATGATTTCTGCGTCATCAGTAAAGACCTTCCTTGTCCCTCGTGTCTGTGATAGGACAGCGATAATGACAGGAACCGAGTGCTAACGGCATTAAAACTCGGAAACGAGGACTACTTGAGAGAAGCCATGCCTCGCTACGAGCTGTCCCTGATCCTGAAGGCCATGCAGCGGCCGGAGACGGTGGCTACTATGCGGCGGACCGTGGAGACCCTGATGGAGCGGGGCGCGGTGGTCAGAGACCTGGAGAGCCTGGGAGAGAGGCAGCTGCCTTACAAGATAACCAAACACAATCAGCTGCACATCCGAGGGACTTACTTTCTCATCGATTTCTATTCTCCTCCAAATGTCCTCAACGACTTGCTGAACCACTTGCACCGTGACGTGGACGTGGTGAGGCCCATGGTGCTGAGGAAAGACGAGCAGGGCCCCCAACGCGCCTGCTGTGGCCCCAAGCTGTGACTGGATGTAAGGAATGTCCTCTGTGTGAGTTTAGCTGTGCAGGATGAAAACTACAGCTCACAATGGATAGATAGGAAAACACAAGTTTTAGTTTTTCTGCTTAAAAGATGGAGTATATTATATTACACCATTTTGGAAGAACTACTCCATTTGTCTTTAGAATCATTAGAAAATAGTGGTAATATAGTCAAAATAAAGTGGCTTTCATATTTTAACTGTAATAAGCACAAACTTAATATTTTAAATTGTAGTTTCCTTATTCGTTTAGCACTCAAAGTAAACGTTCGGGACGACTCTCGGGTACTACCACACCAAACTTTAGGTCAATATCTGTTAAAGTGGCGGAAATATTGCAGTTTTTTTGTTTGCTAAAATTGCGTTGCTATGGCAACCACGACTTAAATTCACTGTATTTATACAGCGCCAAATTGCAACAGACCTGGTCTCGGGGCACTGAACAGAAACATTTCTATATAAAAACAATAACACCATTTATCTGAGGAGCAGACTGCTTTGAGTTCAACTCCATCACAGAACTCTCATCTTGAGCGAGCATGAAGGCGACGGTGGGAAGGAAAAACTCCCTCATGAGGAGGAAACCTTTAGCGGAACCAGGATCAGGACAAGCGGCCATCTGCTTCGACCGGCTGCTTCTAAAGTTAATCAGTCGTAGATGTTCACCCAATATGTACTTTGAACATTATAATAATATCTGCTTCAGGAGATATTTTGCTAACAGACTTGTTGACTGTAACATTTAGACAAATGTTTTAAAGAAAGCGCTCATTATGCTTTACTGCTTAAAGCATGTTACGGGTGACTCTCGGATACTTTACTGAATTTTAGCTGAAAATATTGTAAACCTGAGTTACAGCCTTTTTTGTACTACAGTTGTGTAGCTGTGGCAGCCATCTTTAATCAGGTTGACTAAAACAAATCAATTGTAGATGGACATCAAGTGATTATTTTCTGATAATTTAAACTGTCCTGTGGTCCGTGAAATATTTTTTAACAGGCATAAACACGTGAATGATCTCTTGCCTAACAATAAAAATAGCCTTATTGCCATATTTAAAAGTAATAATAGTAATTTAGTCGAGCTCCAGTGCCATCTTTATGGTCATCAACCAGTTGCAGTAACAGTGAAGAAAAAGAAAAGTGTTGTGCTGACCATTTAAATCAATATATTTTTTTAATTATTATTATTTATTTATAAAGATAAAAATATTATAAAGCTATTTATATTTTAGTGTGCCTACTATACATGTCTAGTCAAAGTCAAAGTTTCTTTATTCGTCATACGCGCCACATGTGGTGGAATGAAATTGTGTACACAGGGTCCCAGTTACATCCAACAAAAGTATAAAATGTAAATGAAAAACGGTAATAAGATCTAAGATATGAACTAAGAAAAGTAAACTAAAAATATACTAAGCACTTGTAGTATAAAAACACAATGAATGAACACAACAGTGTGAATAAATCAGCATGAGATTAGAAAGGGATAGTGTCTGGCTTCCAAATGTATTTTATTTTCTTTCAGTAAAACAATTCTTTTAAGTGTCATTATAATTTTACTGTGGGTTAAAAAATGTAGTATAAAGCAGTGCTTTTCGAAATGGGGGCCACGGCTCCCTGCAGGGGGCGCTAGGGTGCCTCAGAAAGCTGGAGAGATTTTTTTTTAAAGCAAAAATAAAAAAATATATATTTTAATTAAAATTCTATTATTTTTTTAATTACTGTAATGAAATTGAATCTGTTTTTCAATAATTATTTTAAAATATATTTTATAATAATATATAGTGAAATATTTTTCACCATCCTCATCGTTGTGATTGGCTGCCAGTCAAATGTATCAAGCAGCTACTCTTCAAGCACAGCAAGGATGAAATGAAGACGTTTCTAAAAAGGCTGAAGGAACCGACCAGCAGCCCAGCTGTGGTGGGAACTGCTGCAAATAAACAACAACAAAGAACTCATGGCCAGAGCTAAAATTCAAAGGTATTAAGTTTGGCTTTACAGTCAACCAGAAAAATGGCCATGATTGCCTGAAATGTGTCCTCTGTCTGGAGACCCTCGCAAACGAGTGTTTAAATCCCTCGAAACTTCAGCACCACTTGAGTGGGAATATAATACAGTGTTTAAAACATGTTACTTAATAACATTTTTTATGTTCATCAGCTGTAATAATTAATTGACTATAGTAGGCCTGTCGCAGTAAACAATAAATCAATTAATCGCATGATAAATGTAAATTATATCAATCTCATTTTCATTTACCGGCTTTATCGTTTCTTTGTGTCTCTTTCTGTTGAAGGCACTGGATGACAAAAGGCTCAACTCGTGCTCTTCACTGACCCCTCTTTCTCTCGTCTTTAAAATCTGTTTTAACCGTCCTAAATCGCGTTTTTGGATTGTTAAAAGCAGCTAGGCTGAGAAGCTAAGCTACGAGCTAAGCTAAGACGACCTCGGGAATAAACCCCCGTCTGGTCAAAGCTCCAAAATTCACAGTTGAAACCCGTGCCTTCGCGTAAAAACTTGTTTTTCGCTGCAAAAAGAAGCTGAGAACTTGTTTACGGATTTTTTTTAAATTAAAAGCTTTGTGTGACAAATGCTATGCTAAAGAGCTCAAACCACACCGAGCAGCTGCCATTTTGAGAACCGAAAAGAGACAGCCCATGTCACGTCAAGAGGCCTCCCTCCCATTTTCTTAGAGACACGCTGTTCGCTCCCTCACTATCCATCCTTCAGTGCAAACAGTCTGGTGGTAAAAAAAAGGAACTACATGCAAAACAAATGAACAAACATTTCTTCTTAAATTTTACAATAATTACCGTCAAATTTCAAACAATATTATCGTTTATCGCAATAATTTCTGAGACAATTAATCGACCAGCAAAATATGTTATCGTGACAGGCCTAGAATATAGTGAATAAAAGTTAAAACATTCTAAAAATTGATGTTTCTTTACATATTATGTAGCATTGTTTGTGGGAGGGGCCTTGGTCAGAAGCTAATGCTGTTTTTTTTTTTTTTTTTGGGGGGGGGGGGGGGCACGGTAGAGCACCAAATAAGCCTCTTTGGTATTTGATTAAGTGATTTTGTTTTGTTTTGTACTGTAAGTTATGATTTCTGTTTGCAAATGTTAAAAACGAACACAATCAGTTATTGTAGCATCAAATGTGGATAAAAAGTGCCAGTAGATCTAAGACTGTGGTGTTCTAACACCTCGCTCTAAAATTAAAAAAAGCCAAACTGCAAATTAAATAAAGCGATAGAATAATCAATTAAAGGGTTTCATGATAAAGTTACAGGGCTGAACTCAAAGGTTCGTGCTGATAACAGGAACAACACACACTGCTCATTGATTATAAACTCAACACACCGCTGATGTGGCTTTTTAAAATTCAAGTTGTTAACATGGATTTATATTTTCAACATGGCAGGCGTTACCGTCGTAAATGTGAATTTACTGTGAAGTGACTAACCCATATGTAGGCCTGTCGCAATAAACAATAAATCAATTAATCGCATGGTAAATTAAAATTATCGACCTCATTTTCATTTATCGGCTTTATCGTTTCTTCGTGTCTCTTTCTACTGAAGACACCGGATGACAAAAGGATCAACTCCGGTGCTCTTCACTGGCCCCTCCCTTTTTCTTTAAAATCCATTTTTACCGTCCAAAATCGTGTTTTTGGCTCGTTAAAAGCAGCTACGCTGAGAAGCTAAGCTACGAGCTCAGCTAACGGGACGACCTCGGGGAAAAAACCTCTCTCTTGTTGAAGCTCCAAAATTAACGCCGGAAACCCGTGCCAAAAAGTTGTTTTTCCTCTGCAAAAAGAAACAGAACTTGTTTACTGATTTTTTAAAAATTTTATTAAAAGCTTTGTGTGAAAAATGCTAAAGAGCTCAAACCACACCGAGCGTCCGCCATTTTGAGAACTGAAGAAAAGGAACGAGAGACGGCCCATGTCACGTCAAGGGGCCTCCCTCCCATTTTTCTTAAAGAGACGCTGCTCACTCCCTCACTATCCATTCTTATACTGCCATCTGGTGGTCAAGAAAGGTACTACACAAACAAATTAACCAACATTTCATCTTAAATTTAACAATACTAATTACTGTCAAATTTCAAACAATATTATCGTTTCAACAAAAAAGGTTGAATCATGTCATCTGGACTTTGTTTTTTTTGTTAAAAAAGAAACGTTTCGCCCCTGGTCCAAGAGGCTTCGTCAGTCTGAGGCCTAGCCATCTGGTATTACCCAGAAGCCACCCTGACTCTTGTGTTTCAAGCCTGCCTCAGATACCCCTGAAGTCTGGCCTTTTCACTAATGGTTTCAAAAACACAAAGTTTGTTTTCTCAGTCATCCAGGTATATAACAACAAAAAA